GTTGGAAAAGTTCAGATGAACAGTGATTGTGTCTTTATTGCACTTGGAGTCTTTCTTGGTTGCTGTGCAAGCCTTGTGCTCACCTTCCCACTGGATCAGTGCACAAATGGGCTTGTTTTGAGCATTCAGACCCTAATCTGGGTTTTTTCTGCTATGGAAATGCAAAGATGCAGTGTTTGTTATAGTAGTAACTCTTTAGTAACCTCTTTAGGAACAGCAGTGCTTTGTGTGCAGTAAGAACTGCTGGCCAAGTCCTCCCTTATTTGCCAGATTTGCACCAACTGTGCCATAAAGGTGAAATATTTTAATACCCGTCAGTGCTGGGGAGTGGGTCCCATTTTTTGAGTTTCTGATGAATTACCTGAATGTTCGTGGTTGTGGGGGGCACAGGGAGGGATGCTGAGCCATCCTGTGCCACTGCACTGGGGCTGGAAATCTTTCCTGTCACAGGCCAACGCGGCGCCGGACGGTGCCGGGGTGGTGGTTCGGGAGCGGCGGCTGCACGTTGGTGTCCACAACGGGCTGTGCTTTGTCCAGGCACCCCAGGTAGCTGTGCTGGTGCCTGAGGCAGAGGTGGCCCGGGGCAGCTGCCCAGGGGGGCTGGCTCCCGCAGCCAGGTAAGGGGAGACCCTCCAGAGCCGTGTCCCCCCTGCCCCGGGTGCTGCCCACAGCCCCATGTCCATCCTGGCGCAGGGATGCGGGTCAGGCCCTGGTTCTGCGGAGCCGCATCCACCTGAGCGAGATGGTTCCTCACCCGGCCTTTGGGGTCTGCTTCCAGCTGGAGTATGTCTTCTGCAGCATGGGGAGAGCTGGTGGGAAGGTAGGGCCGAGTGTGCATGTCCCTCATGAGGGAGCAGGGTGTGTGGGTGGGGGGTGAGCCCTGTGGGGGGACCCCATTCTCTCCCCACTTTCCACTGTCTCACACCCCACCGTGCAGCCTCTCCTCCTTGCTGCCCAGCAAAAGGCCCTGCAGAGTGTCTGGGTGCTTTCCACTGCACAGAATACCCTGCAAAGGGACTTAGTGAATCATTGTAGTTACATGTGGTCAGTGCACTGTGGGGGCGGTGGTGGAGCTGGGGCCTGTGGCACAGCCCTTGGGCAGGGCAGTTAATCCCAAAGCAGCTTGCCCAGCTGATCACAGTGTCCTCCATGCCATAATTAGCAGGCTGTGAGGTGATTGCCTTGTGGGTGCTGGTAGAGATCTCTTGGTTTGCTTCTGTACCTCTCCTTTGGTCTGAGGGGAGGCTGTGGATGTGCTGGGGTAAGTGGAAGCCTTTCTGCTGCCTTTCCCATCTGCTAGGGATGGGGCTCAAAGGTACATCCCTTAATGCAGCAGCTTGAGCAAGGGGTCACAGCCCTTTGGGGCCTGGGGTCTTTTCTCAGCCTACATGAGCCTAAATATATATAGGGATGAAACTCTGTTATTTTGGAAAAGCACTAAATCATGATTTTATATTGGCATTGTATTCTGCTGATCCATAATATTGTGGTGTGATCTGGTGAAGATGTGAGTACCCGGAGGGTGGGTGCTCGCTGTGCTGAGGGATGGGGAATAATGTCAGCAACAGGCTGGGTGAATGGGGGGTGTGAGAAAATCCTGTGTGGGAAGAGTACTGTGAGATTTATAGGTGCTTTGTGGTCAGCCTTGAGGAGGGCAAATCTCACAGGAAGGTGCTGGTTCTCCCTGTCTCCCCCCAGGCCCTGCCCAGTGGTGCCTGCAGTGAAGCCACCGAGATGTGCTCAGTGCGCTGGGCTGTCTGGAGCCCTGCCCTGGGCACTGGTGAGAAGGAGGAGGAGGTGGTCCTGCCCCTGCGTGGGGGTCCCCACCGTGGTCCCTGCCAAGCTCTGGTCTACCGGACCCCCCCAAGTGGCAGGAGCTCCTGCCAGGTGAGGGCAAAACACAGGAATGCTGCCAGGGCTTGGGCAGGCTGGGCTGGGCACTGGAGGGGCTGTGGCAAAACCTGTGTGAGTGTAAGGGAATAGGCATGGATGGGTAGGTGGGTGTCTGCAGAACTTGCTCAGTAAACTATTACCTGGGTGGTAGTGGGTAGAGTTGATAGCTGTGTGTGTGTCCCTTCCAAGGACCAAGATATTTGATCAGTGTGTTGGGAGTCCAAGCTCTCGCCAGCTCTGCCTCCAGCTTGCACTGCTGCTCCCGTGGCTGCAGGACAAGGCAGTCATCCCTTGAAGGGAGCTGTGTTGTCTAAAGTATTTCATGTCCAATTTCAGGGAAAGCACGTGGAGTCTGGGACTGTCCAATTCCATGTTTCTACTGATTCGGAAGAACATCTTGTAACTGCTGCGAAGATCCCAGATAAAGGCAGGGACGCGTTGGAGCCTCCCACGCTGTCGCTGAGTGAGTGTTTTCCAGATCGCTGACATTTAAAATATAGACTGTGGCACTGGTGTCTGCTCAGGAGAAAAAACACGAGTTCACTGAGTTTCAGTGAGCGAGTCTGTGAATTACGGGAGTGAACCAGGCTTCTAGTGAGTTGAATTCAGCTCTCACTTTTCAACTTGCAAAATTCTCCTGTGAAAGTCTCACTGAGACGGGTGCAAAATCCCCTGGGATTTCCAGCCTGCTCCAATTTTGGGTGGCTGTGACAGTGTTTGGGCTCAGCCTGCAGAACCACTGTTGGGCACTGCAGTCATTGGTCCCAGGCACTGCTGCTGTTTCACTCTGGCCTCTGCGTCCCTCTGGGCATGAGGGCAGGAGAGATGTCAGTTGTAGGCTGAGGAAAGAAAGAATGTCGTTCTGCTGCTACTCCAGGAGCTGACACCAGGCTGGAAAACTAGGCTGTGTGTGTGCCTGCATGCATCTGTCTGTGACTTTGGGGTGCCCAGGGATTCTGCTGGGTGTTGGAGATGGAGAGAAAACTGCCTTTGGCTTGAGCTTTGGCATGGAGCTGAGCCAATGCCCCAGGCTCCTGGAAATCCTTTCGGGCTCGATTCTGTTTGTGCTGCCCCGCTTCCCACGCAGGTCCTGGTGTGATGCTCCAGATCCAGAACATCATTTAAACACAGTTAATGAGCTTAGCCAGTTCCCGTGGACAGTGTGTGGGGCGATGCCGCTGCGGTGGGAGCAGCCTGGGTACCTTCCACGAGGTGGCACTGGCACCGTGGCTGTGCTGCAGCACCAGCCTCAGAGAGGAGCTGGCTTGGCTGGGGCACAACCGAGATTTTAGGGGCTGGGAGTGAGGGGGGATGCCCCGGGTGGGCCATTCTGGGGAATGATCTGGTGTTTCCTGGCTCTGGGGGCTGGCTGCCCCAGGGAAGTATGGTAATGGTCCTGGAGGTGACCTGGAGGTGAGTAGCAGCATGCGAGAGCCAGCCTGTACCCTGAGCTGCTGAAAAGAGCATTTTGTTAACTTTTCATAGTGCTCTGTGGGAAAATGTGCTGCTGTCTGGCCCTTTTGGCCAGGGGAGAGCAAGTGCATTTTCTGATGACCCTGTCCATTCTCTCATCACCAGCAGCCAAAACCATCCTGAGAGAAAACAGTATTAGAGATGTGAGGGTGGCAAGGTGCTTTCCTCTGCACAGCATTCACCCTGGGGCAGCTGGATTGTATGTGGTGGTGAAAGCGAAGCAGGGTCTCAGCATCACAAGGATGCAGAGGTAGAGCATCCCTGGTCTGCTCTGAGGGACCTGCAGCTCTGAGCTCAGCTGCGCTGGCACGAGCTGAGCAGCCAAATATAGACACAATAAAGCTCCTGCTGTTTTGGGGCACAAACAGATGAAGGGAGTGACAAGAAATAACAGGAGCAACGAAAACCTTAAGTATCCTAAAACTTTCACATCTCATTAAGCATCCCACTTAGGCAGCGCCGCAGGGCACAGCGGCACCATCTGGGGAAGGAGTTAGCCTAATTCCCAGCAAAATAACGGCTGGATCTGGAGACGCGCTACGTTCCACCCCCGGGCTGCAGTCTTATTGAAAAAATAAGTCAAATAAGAGATAGTGAGCTACTGTGTTCAGCTGTTTCTCCCCTGAAATGTGAACAGGTGGGTGGGGTATTGGAGGGGGCTCCCTGGGGGTGGTGGCTCAGTTGCCACACCCCTCCTGTCCCTCTCCTCAGGTCCACAGGCGCCGCGAGTGCCGGCATCCCCGCAGGGACCAGGGGTAAGTGCTGTGTGGGCAATGGGCTGCGGGGTTCCCAGGGGACAGCTCTTGCACTGAGGACATTCCCCTGGTCCTGTCCTTGCCAGTTTTCCTGGCTGCTGTGGGCAGGAGGCACCAAGCATCCTGCTCCACTCCTCCTCCTCCAGGGCAGTGAAATTGATCCTGCCTATAACATGCTCAGCAAGGTTCCCTGAGCTCTTTCCACACCCCAAATGTGTTTTAAGGGCAGTTCTGGGTTTTGACAGCCCAGATTTGCTGAGTGCTGTTGTCCCTGGTACATGCTGACAGTGACACATGGTGTCTTTGTGCAGAGCTATTGGGGTTTAAGGAGAGCTATGAATACCCAGGTGTCTCTTTATGCTTTTTTTTTATACCTTGATGCAGGGATCAGTGCATACAAATAATTTTGATTAAATGAAATGCTTAATAAGATGGCATTAAGCAGCTTGATCTTCCTGCTGCATTTTCCCATCTTACTGGGGAAAGTACAGCAGCTGAGTAGGATGTGGAGGTGCAAACCCTTGAGCAGCCAAGCCGTGCTGCTTCCCAGCAGAGTGCTGATGCCAGAGCACATGGCATCTCAGCTGCTTTAGTGGGGAGGGGGCTGCCTGGCCGTGGGGTTCCTATAGGGTGGGCTGCCTGGGGGGCTGCTCTGTGGTGTGGGGCTGTGGGCACTCACCTCACCACTCTCCCTGCAGCTGTCAGTGTCCCAGCTCTCGGCCATGCCACGGGGCAAGGACCAGCCCCTGGAGGGGGGGATCACTCACCTGGAAGCCGACCTTGGGTGGGCAGACCCTGAGGCCTGTGCTGAGGAGCCTCTGCGGGCGCTGCCCTTCGCCCCGCTGCAGGTGCCCGTTGCTGCGCTGGGGATCCAGGCAGACAGGTGATACTCAGCTGCCCTTCCCTGGGCCCTGGCACCCTGTGCAACCAGTTCTGTGTGTCTCACTCCTGTGCCTGTTAGTTCCCACACGCTGCTCTCCCGGGCCGCGCTGGCGCGCCTGCACACCGCTGGCTTCCCGGAGATCCTGGACCGTCACCAGGAGCCAGTGGGAATCTCGGAGCCTGTGGACCTGGCAACTTTCAGCCCACAGCTGGAGGAAGCTGACCCTCTGCAAGGCAATGAAATAATCCTGCAGTTCCTGGCTTTTGGCAGGTGGGATGGCAGCTCTTTGTGGTGCCTTGTGCAAGTTGATCCCAGGGGAGAGTCCTTTCACAAAAACCTCACTTCTTTGCTTGAGCGGGAGAAAACCTGCAAAAGTTCTGTATCCTCCAGCAGCTGGTGTGGAGGCAAAGCCCCAGAGGGTTTTACAATGAGGCTCTTTTCTTTCCAGGGACTCTTAAATCATATTCCTGTTTTTTTTTTTTTTTGTTTAATCCATTATATCTGTAAGAGTTGGTTAATGCAGGATTTCTCCATAAATGCATGTGGAGTTGAGGATGTTGGCACCCTTGGGGATGGCTCTGACTGGGTGAGGCCCCACTCATGTTTTTCCCATGGACAGCAGTGTGCTGTGCGGAGGTAAAAATCTGCCTTTGCTGGGCTCTTCCATCACAACATATGGCAGGAGGCAGCTGGAATTATGAAGCTTTTTGGGAAGCCAAGGCAAACCATATGCCTGCTGTCTTCAGATAAGTCCAAAGACTTGTGATGCTGCTGATCTTCTCTTTTCTTCTGCCTCTCTGTGGGTGCCAAATACATGAAGAGCTTGTGATGGGATGGCAGTGCCATGCCATGAACTGACCCAAGCCTTTCTCTGTCCTTCAAGGGATGCCCGGGGCCATGCAGAGGGGACGTGGCCAAGGACCATTTTCCTCACCTTCCAGTTCTACCGCTTCCCACCAGTTACCACACCGCGGCTGCAGCTGGTCAGCACGGAGCGGGGGCTGGCGGCTGGGCCAGCTCTGCAAGCACAGCTCCTTGTCCGGGTGAACAAGGATGGGACCCTTGGCAGTGGTAAGTTCTGGTGGAGCTCCTGCGTGTGGAGCTGTTAATGGGAATGCAAGGGTGGTCTGTATAGACTGTTTCTGTGGGAAGGAGCCAATCCCAGGGGGCCTCAAACCTCACTAATTGACCAATGGGTTCATCAAGTGGAGGCAGGTGGGTGTGCGATCAGGCAGGCTTCTCCAGAGCAGGAGTGTCCCTGTCCTGGCTGAGTTCTGGTGCTGGCGGAACTCCCACGCTGGTGCCCTGTCCTGCAGGACCGCCGGGCTTGCAGCTGAAGTACATGGTGGATCCTGCGTTCCTGCGAGCCGGGGAGCAGCGCTGGTTCGTGCGGTACCTGGCTGAGCACAGCCTCCAGATTGACATCTGGGATGGAGACTCTCTGCTCCTGGTTGGGTCTGCTGCTGTGAGGCTTCAGGTCTGTCCCCTGAAGCCCTTGGATGGCTCTTACTGCAGAAGGATTTGGTTTAGGGTGCAGGATACTTACGGAGGAGCCTGACTCTTCCTTCATTCCTGTGTTGAGATGCTGTTGTGTCACCCTCGTGTCTTTAGTAATCAAGTTGCATCAGTCCCTCTGTGTCAGCGAGGCCCATGTCAGCCTGACAAGCCCCTAATTGTGGGATTTGGTGTCTTATCAAAAGTGTTGTCCAAATGTTGACTTCCTTCCACTTCCCTGGAACTCCTGCTGCATTATAGGGCTGTACCACCAGACTTGAGACACCCTTATCCCAACCCTGTAGTCCCTCAGGCCTGACACCCCCAGTGACTTGTGACCCTTTGTCCTCAGCCCCTGCTGCGCCAGGGTCGGGAGGCCATCAGGACCCACCATGAGCTGGAAGTGGCCACAACTGAGTATGAGCCAGACGTGACAGTGATGGGCCAGGAGGCCCTGAGGCACGGAGCCCTGCGGCCCCTCGGGGTCCGTGTGGCCCTGCGGGGCCGCCTCCACCTCTGCATGGCCAACGTTGGTAAGAGCTCAAGGTTTGGGTACCAGCACCCCGTGGCACCTCTTGCTGGGTACCACCTGAGCCCCCATCCCCTTGCCAGCTGCTTGACTCCCAGTGCCACTGGGCTGCAGGCAGGAGCATGTGCTGCTTGAGTTTGTGGTCCTGATGCCAGTGATGCTGGGATGGTGGCATGGGGACAGTGCTGCACAGTTTGGTGCTAGCAAACAGCATCAGGCTGTGGGAGAAAGGGCTGCATCTCAACCAAAACCATCCTTGTAGGGAATGTTCTTCTTCCCAGAACCTGCTGGCTGCCTTTATTTTATACGTTTAATTCCCTGCCCTATAAATGTGCAGTGACTCCAGGTTTTAACACCTTATCTTGAGAAGAAAGATTAGCTCCATTATAAGTTATCTTAAATCATCGTTTCCTTACTTTGCCTGCAAAGAGCTGATAAGCTCCTGGGAAGGAGAATCTGAGGTTGACAACCCCAGGAGAGGTTTAGCTCACACCCTGCAAGAGAAGAGGGAGAGAGGAGGCAGAGACACAGCCCAAGGGCAGCAGCCACCCTTTGGGCTTTTCTCTGCTCTCTTTTTAAATTTCAAAATACTATTGTTGAAAACAGGATTGTTTTGGTGTCCCTGCCTGAAGGACAGGATGTAGTTTGTGGGCTGAGTAAATACCTGGTGGGTTTAGAGCCTTGTCTGGCTCCAGTTGGCACAACCCTCGTGGGAGACTCTGGAGGGAGCATGTGGGGCTCAGAGCACCCTGAGCAGCCAGGCCTTTGCAGGCAGTTTACAAAAGCCGGAGCAGAGAGCTGCAGTGAGGACAGGAATTTGCAGTAGATTTTGTAACACTGAAAAGGGGATGGTTTCTGCTCAGCCTGCCTCTGCTCATGGCAGGCCACCTGTGTGAGGAGCCCCCGGGGCAGCTGCCCTCCCCGCTGCCATCCCGCTCCCGCATTGTGCCCGCACCAGACGGTGCCTGCGTTATCCCGGCTGGCAGCTGGTTATCCCGGGACACTGCTTGTGGTGAGTCCTAGTTATCCCTGAATGCTGCTGGTGGTGAGTCTTGCCGGGCTGGGGCTCAGCCCATCCCCTCATGTCGGTTCAGGTTGGCCAGGTCTCTGCCAGTCTCTGCTGCTGCAGTGCTGGTGCTTTTCCCTCAGGCTGGCAGCCCCTCCGGTGCTCCCTGGCCCAGCAGCATCACCAGGGTCCCTCAGCACCACCCTGATGGTGGGTCCCCTCTCCCCGCAGGGCAAGTGTCACAGGCACGGAGGCTGGTGGAGGTGGACAGCGAGCTGGCGGCTGCGCTGCGCGCCCCCCGCCCGGGGCCCAGGCCGGTGCCCCCCGCTGCCCCTGGTGAGGCCGCGGCCGCCCGGCGGCGCAAGCTGCGGCGCATGGCGCTGGTGCGGCAGCAGGAGGAGGCCGGCAGTGGGAGGATGCCCCAGGTCTCGGTGAGGAGAGGGGTGGTGGGGTTTGGGGCTCCCCTGGAGGCTCCAGGTTTATGGGGCACCCCATCCCTCCTGGCAGGGCTGGCAGGAGCAGCGTGCCCTGCGGATGCGTGACTTGCAGATCATCGATGCCTACCGGGAGCACACCAAGGGCGAGAGCATCTCCCGCGTGCTCAGCCAGGCCATCACGGCCACCCGCACTGTGCACGCCGTGCTGGGCACCGCGGAGTTCTTTGAGTTCACCCTGAAGAACCCCTATGGTGTTCAGCACACTGTCACCATCGAGGTTGACCACCCTGAGCTCAGGTGGGGGCCAGAGTGGGGTCTTCCCTGTGTGCATGGGGAGATGCTGGGGAGGCACTGGACCAGTCCTCACCAGCACCTCTGCCACTGGTTCCCCAGTGTCATCCTGGACCCAAGGGAGTGGCGTCACTTCAAGGAGCTGACCAAGAGTGTTACACCAGTGGAGGAGGAGATGTTCCACCTCCGTGATGACCTCCGCCCTCAGGTCTACCTGCGCCCCAATGAGACTGTCCGCATCCCCTTCAAATACCAGACCTTCTCTGCAGACCCTGCCATTGTAGCTGCACAGGTAGGTGCAGGTTCTCTATTATGGGCTGTTCCTGATAGGAAGTGTTTTCCTGGCTGTGTGGGGCAGGGTGGTGCAGCCCAGGGGGGCCCTGCACAGCCACAGCCAAGCTGCATCCCAAGGAAACCTGCTCTTGCACCCACAGGGGCCAGCTGGGCTGGACACCAGTGCTGACACAGGCGCCCACTCCCTGGGGCAGAGCGGGGCTGCGCGGATGAAGCACATCCAGGTGAGGGAGGTGGGAGAAACTCCACTCCAGTGGGAGGAGAAGCATCCCTCTTGCAAACCTCTGTCCCTCTCCAACTGGCCCTGGGGCAGGTCTCCTTCCAGGTGAGTGGGGGGAAGCCCATCGCGCTGCTGCTGGTGAAGGTGGAGCCGCAGCCCCACGTGGTGGACCAGACCTTCCGCTTCTACCACCCAGAGCTCACCTTCCTCAAGAAAACCATTCGGCTGCCCCCCTGGCACACCCTCCCTGGTGAGCCTGCAGCTCTTCGTCTTCAGCCACTTCCTTGCACCAATTTAATTTTTCATTCCCTGCCCCAGTGCACCCTTGCGGTTTTCTGGTAGCCAGCACAAGGGCTTCTGGTCTGTGGCTGCGTGGGGAGCAGGGTAGCAAGCACAGACACAGGCTGAGTACAACTGCACCTCGGTCTATCTCCTCCACAGGCACTCCAGTGGGGATGCCCGGGGGGCAGCCTGAGATGTTTGTTCGCTGCAGTGACCCCAACATCATTTGTGAGACCAAAAGTATGGTAAGGGTTATGCTTTGGCTTCAGTTTGTCCTTCTGCTGGGGGTTGTTCTTGTTGGCAGATGCCTTGTGCCCACAGCACTTGTGCCAGTGCCTCGCTGGCAGTGATGAAGCTGGAATTGCTCTTTATTCCCAATTAAAGGGAGCTGCCTTGTTTCTGTGGTCAAAGCTGCAAGCTGCACCTTAATGCAGTGTAGCTTGTTTTTCTGAGCATCCAGAGGATGAGGATGCTGGGGAAAAACAGCTGTTTGTTGGGTGCTGCTCAGGGTACTGGTGGGGGCCCAGCACAGCATCTCTCTGTCTTGCAGCTGGGGGAGGTAGATGGGGAAAAACAAACTTCCACATGCATGCAGATGGCAACAGAGGGTAGTTGCTAATTGGTGTAGCAGAAATGTGTTAGTATGGTAATTGGATTATGGCTTGTTAGAAAACTTGGGGAAAATTTGCCAAAATTTGATTACAGATGCAGACCTGGAATGCAATAGTCGTTTGTATCCTCTTTTGTAATTAAAAATACTGGAAGAGCTCAGCCAAGCTGTATAATAACTTAATAACATAGTTTAACTAGATGCTGAAAGCATCTGCTTTCGTAAGTGGATTGGTGGCGGGTTTTTCTGTTAATGGGAAGGAAACCCTGGAGTCCTCATTAGCTGTTTGATCCCGAGGTTAACTGCTGGAACCATGCTCTGATTCCTGCTCACAGGGGCCTGGGGAGCCACAGGACATCTTCTTAAAAGTAGCTGGAGGACCAAGCCCACAGATCAAGAAGTTTTTTGTTGCTATTTATACGTAAGTAGCAGGACCTCAAAAAGTGGGAAGCACTGACCCCAGGAGCATGGCAGGGCAGGAGGGAAGCTCAGGCTCTTCCCTTGCCTCCCTGAGCCCAGCCAGCTTGGCTGAGCAGCAGAGAGGCTTCCCCAAAGGTTTGTGGCTTAAGGATTTACATCATTCCTTTTCTTCAAAGTAATCCCTGGGCAAACCATTCCCAGTGTGCCAGGGAATGCCTGCTGAGCCTGCTGGGCAATGAGATGCTTTAAGGATGGGTGGGACTCAAGTGGAGCCCTTTGAGGAAGCTCACGGGGAGCCTGGGCTCCCTCTCTGTGTTCCCTGTGCAGAGCTCTGAGCCCGTGGCTGAGCTGCCTCTCTCTGTGCCACAGGGACTCCTGGCTGGCAGTGCCCGTCCAGATCTGGCAGTTCTACCTGCACTCCCTGCAGCGCCTGGACGTCAGCTGCACGGCCGGGCAGCTCTCCCGCCTCTCCCTGCTGCTGCGGGGCACCCCGGCCCCGCGCAGGGTCCGCGCCTTCACCTCCCACCCCCACGAGCTGCAGGTAACACCCCACGGGGCCTGGGGCTGCAGGGTCTCTGGTGGTGGCAGCTGGAGGCTGGGCTGGACATTCTCCCTTCCCGAAAGGGAAAGGCAACAGCAGCCCACTTGGAATTATGAACGATTTACTGCTGTAAAGTGTTGGGATAATTAGCTTTTCATTAGAGCTGTCATATGTAGGATCATGGGCACGAAACCCCAGAGGGCAAATTATCTGTGTTAATGAGACCAGCTGAAGACTAACAATTTCTTCAGAATTCCTTCGGCCTTAATTGTGAGTGTGAATAACAAAAGGCACAAAATCCTCATTGCTGCCCTGTAAACAAAAGAAGTCTCCCTGTGCAGGGGGAGGGAGGCCCCAGCCTGGGGGGAGCAGGCTGTTCCCAGCAGTTCTTTCCCTTTCTGATAGGAAGCTGGTCCTAGCCTGTTCCCATAGGTGGGATTAGGTGTTGGAGGTGTAGGTGTGCAGGGTTTTAAGAGCAGGTGGGTCTGGTTTAGGCTCCAAGCTGGACATTGTGGAGGTGTGGTTGCTGCAGCTCTGGGTGTTGGTTCCCACAGGTGGATCCGGATGGCACATTCCTTCTTCCGGCCAATGGCATCCAGGAGCTGTTTGTTGGGGTGAGGCCTCGGCGGGCAGGCAGCCGGTTCATCTACCTCAACCTGGTGGACGTGGAGTCCCACCAGCTGCTGTCCTCCTGGCTGCTCTGCCTGGCTTGTCGGCAGCCCCTCATCTCCAAGGTAAGACATGGCAGTCTGGCTGATCTTCTGCTTCTTCCTCTCTTTACATCCATAGGTTTTTTTGTGCTTGCTACCCAGAGCACATGTTTAGCCCTCAGGTGCTCAAATAACCTTGCTGAAGACCATGGTAAAAGATCTTTTGGGCTGTCTTGAAGGCAAGCCCATGCTGAGGGGTGTCAGCTCTCAAGCACCCCCGGGTGTGAAATTGAAGCTGCAGCACGCTGAGTCCTGTTAGTGCTGTGCTCTCAGAGACAGAAAATTAGATTTCCTGCCTAATGTGTTTCTTTTAAAAACATCTGCCTGAGCCCTTTGGTATGGGAGGGAAGTTCAGATTGGTGTTTAAGCTGGTGCCTCAGTGTCCTGCCACATGCCAGCCCAGCTCTGGTGCCAGGGGCATTACCTGAGCCAACACCATGGCTCTCCCTGAGGACATCCCTTAATTACCTGGAGCATGGGTTGGGATCCCAGCAGCTTCTTCAGTTCTTTGTCCTTCAGGCTGGTAATTAGTGCCACCAATGCAGGTGGTGGTCCCCCATACTGGGTTTGGGGGGGCACCCCTTCCCATGCTGTGCTGCAGCTGCTGCTCCACTCACAGGCGTTTGAGATCTCCCTCCCCGCGGGCGGCGGCCGCGGCTGCAACAAGCGCATCACCTACACCAACCCCTACCCCGCGCCGCGCCTCTACTTCCTGAGCACCAACCGGCCCGACCTCCTGCAGTTCAAGGAGGACTCCTTTGAGGTATGAACCCCTGCCCTTGTCCATCTGGACCCCGTGGTGCAGGGTGTGATGCCACGGGGTCCCGCTGCCCGTTGTCCCGCAGGTGGCTGGGGGGCAGGTGTACACCATCGGCCTGCGCTTCGCCCCCAGCCAGGAGCTGGGCGAGGAGGAAATACTGATCCACATCAACGACCACGAGGACAAGAACGAGGAAACCTTCTGTGTGAAGGTCCTTTACCAGTGAGGCCACCTGGCAGCACCGCCTCGGGGACACCCGTGTCTTGCCAAGGGGGGTTGTGGGCCCGGTCCCCTCACAGTCACCTTGCCAAGCAGGAGGTCTCGCCTCCCCCGGGACCCCCAGTGGTGCCACACGACTCCCAGATCAGGGGCAGTGAGGGTTTTTGCACCCCACGTTGCCACTGCAGGGGGCTTCTATTTTTGTTAAGCGTTACTACATTTTAGACGTGTTGCAGTCTTTTTTTAACTTAAAAAGCTTGCAGATCTGATTCTGTGGGATATTTTTAAAGTATTTTATATTCTATGCTGAGTTTTGCACACACTGAAGCAGTTTTATGGGATTTTTTTATACTTTTTACTCATCCTTGATCAATTAAACCTGCTGCATAGAGCTGGCAATGTGTAGTGGTGGTTTCTTTCAGGGGAGATGGAAACCTTTGCAGTCCCTGTCCCATAGAGCCAAGTGCTGGGCTGGCAGTGCCTGCACTGCCAGGGTGGGGAGTGTGGGGGTCCCTCTCATCACCCCCTGTTCCCTGGAAGCATCCTAGGATTGGGGTTGGTGCTAGGGCAGGGATCACAGAGGGGAAGGGTGGGAAGGGAAGATGTGGGTTGACACCTGGGGCTGAGGGGCATCATCCCCTTCCCTGTGCCTTGTCCTTGCCATGTCCCTCTGCTGCTGAGCAGTGGGCAGAGCCCTAGTGGGCAGTCCCCATCCCAGGAGATTGTGTCCCCATGAGCACTGTGTTGCTCTTCCTTCTGTGTTGGCGGCTGAATTAGTAGCCACGATGAAGTTGTGTGCTGAGATCCTTTGCCTCCCTAGGACTGATCGGAAATGACAGCTAATATTTTAAAAATGATTATACTGTTGGCAGCAGGGAGAGACCCTGAAGTTGGGTTATTAAGGTAGATTAGCAGAATAATTTTCATTTTCATACAATGACATTTCTTGAGACATTTGAATGAGCTGGTGCTGTGGCAGGGGAGGCAGCTTGGGCACAGCCTTGGGTAAATGATGTGACAGGGGACACTGGCACGGGGACTTGAGGTGAGCTGGTGGCTCTTGCTGATGCTTGTCCCATGTGCCCAAGGCCTGGCTGTGAGCAGCGTGGCGGGCACCAGAACATGTTTCACCCCAAAATCTGCACAATGGGTGGGGCTGTTGGACCAGGGTGGCTGTGTGGGGTCCTCAGCTTTTGGCACCGGGGGTTGCAGGAACAGCAGCAGATGAGGAGGAAGAGCAGGTAAATCTGCTTGTGGCTGTAAGCTAGGGAGGGGCTGCTAAAAAAGGTCAACTAGAAAGGAGAAAATAAAGAGAAAGGAGTTGGGTGCAACAGCTCCTGCACCAGCAACACATGGGATATGCCTCTAGCCCAAATTTTTAATCCCAGATTATTTTTCCTGTTATCAGGATGAAACTGCAACTGCCTGAGAAAACTCTAATTAAACAAAGACTCCCTGTAATATTTGCTGGGTGCTTGCCAGCCTCGTTATACGAGATTACCGGGTATCTTTATTAGCTGAAATGAGTACTTAGTGCCTCTGCCAAATTGAAAGCTGATAGACTTGTTTGAGGGAGCCACTGCAGAGGTAACACTCTGCAACCTGCTTTGGCTGTGGCAGGGGGTGGCTGTTGGTGGTGGGAGGGGCTGGGAAGGTTTATTCCCCATTTCTCCTGGAAGCACAACCACTGGCTTGATAGAAACTGATTTAATGGTTACAGAACCTGGAGATAAAGCTGCTGCTCTTAATGGATTTCTTTAACATCAAGTCTGTCAAATACCAGGCTAAAAATCCTTTCTACAACCAGAGCAACTCTATCAAGTGCACTCCACCAGCCAGGCTGAAGCTCCTCAGGTGAAGCCCAGGCTGTGGGAAGGTGGTTTTTTGGCACCTCTGCCAGGAGTCTGGCCTGGAGATGGGAACTTCCAACCTGCACTCCAGCCACGGGGTGAGATGGGAAGGATCTGTTCTGAGCACAGCCTTGCCAGCTCCTCAGGTCCTGCTGGTGGGGATTGTCCCTAGAGCTGTGAGGGGGAATATCCCTTGGGGTTAGGGGATGCTCTGCTGGGGATGAGATCTCAAACCCATGTAAAAATCTGCCAGGAGAGCTGTTGACTGCTTCCTGGTGGAGGTGGGTTTAGGCAGGGGCATTTCTGGGTTTTTGATGCTCTGAGGGCTTTTTGGGGTCTCTGATGGGACTTTCTGCAGCTCAGGTGAGGGAGATGGGGCCCCTCTGCCACAGGCTGCTCTGTGCAGGGACACCAAAACCAAAAAATTAGTTTTAATAGTAATGCACAGCTACAGAATGAGAAATCTGTAGCATTTATAAACTGCTGGTTGGTTTTAAATGATTTCCTTTCTTTCTGTCCCAGGCTTGACATTTGATAAGAATTGAGGCTTTGTGTTAATTTACCAATTAATTCATTGTGCAGACGTGGGAAACAGCACCCCCCCCTTCATGAAGGTCACTGGCACGGGGTGTTTATTTGTAATTTCCAAATGCTATTAACTTTTTAACTACCTGTGTGGGTGCTGTAGGCAACGACAACATCTGCAGCAGGACCAGCCTGGAGAAAACCCATCAGAGGGGTAGGGGCTGCTCTTCCCACCCGGAACTACAGCATCCATGGCTGTTCACCCTGTGCTGGATGGGCCAGGCTTGGCTTTTACAGCTGGAAATCTCTTAAATTCTGGTGAGTCACCAGACATGGTGTCACTGTGGGTTTTGGGAACTGCTGAGCCCTTCTGTTACCCCCCTTTGCTGGAGAAAGTCTGGGAAAGGAAATTGATGATAAAAGCTGTTCTCTGCCTTCAGCAGGGGGTTAGGGACTGAGGCCCATGTTCTCATCTGCTGCTGAGGGGTAAGTCCAGGATTAGACACTGCCAGTCCCTGCCCCGTGTGAGCCGGGCTGCAGAGTCATCTCGTCCCACCCTGCCCCAGCCCAGTCAGTTCTTGGGGATTAACTCCAACTCTGGCAAACTGGAAATAATTAACCTGGTAGGGTCTGCCTTTGCCCACAGTGCATGTGGGAGGCTGCTCTGAGCTCTGCCTGCACAGACCATCTCCTCCTTGCTTCAAATCAGGAGAGAGATTCAGAAAAAGAAAAAAACAATAATCGAAGTCTTCTCTCGGAAAACGGGCACAGGAAAAGAAACAGGAGCCAAATGAATTTAATAAATCCTTTGCTGCGACAGGCTGGCCCTGCTCGACTCCCTGCCTGGTGGAAACAGGTTTTCAAGCCTAATGGTGTCAGATACTCTTTTGGCACCCAATTTCAGAGCAGCATCCCACCCCTGCTGCTTCTTAATGCAGCTCATCTCCTGCCGATTGCTCCCAGGGCTGCAGCCAAACCAGCACTTCAAATTAAAGCATTTCCCACCGTTCTCAGTGTGGGTTTCCATGGAGACCCAAGTGGATGCTCTGTCCTCCTCTGGAGTCCATGGAGAGGCCCCGTCCCAGGCAGGGTCTGCGGGGGGTCCTGGGGGTCCCCCAGTATCCAGCTGCTTGACCTGGCTCCTTTGGTATGGGCACTGCTGCTGCTTCATCTGTCACATGCTGGGCTTGGTGCCCATCCCCACCAGCACCAGGAGCCAGGAGGGAGCTTTGGGACCACCCAATTTCCTGGGAACAGCCCTTTGGGATCAGTTATCCTGGAGCTGAACCCTGGGGAGCTTGGCCAGCAGAAACACTGATGGTAAGGTGGGAACTGGCCCTTTCACTAGGTAGGAGTCAGGTTGGTTTGTTTGTAGCCATTTCAGTTAGACTACAAAGACTGTTCATTGTTTGAGAAGAGTTTTCCTGAGCATTGGTGAGGGCAGTGGGGCCAAGGCTGAGCTGTGAGAGGCAGTGGTGGGTTCAGCTGTGGAAAAGCCCTTGCACATGCGGCTGAACTGGCAAATAGCTGCGAGGTCTAAGAAATGATAGTAATTACAGGAGCAAAACGGTTATTAATGTACTAATTTTCTTGGGAGCCAGGCTTTATGTAATTACACTCCAGGATCAAGATAAGGTTAATGCATTTACCTTCCTGGGTATTTATAGACCTTGTGTGTTGCTCCCCCTGCGCTGTGGGACCCGTGGCTGCGAGGGGACGAGGGCACAGGGACATTTGTGGCTCTTTGCTGATACTGCTAATGAGGAGATCCCAGCTGTGTCCCGTGGGGCTTCCCTGGTTCAGCTGCTGCCTGGAGCCTCTCAAAGCAGGGCATCCACATGGTAAGCACATCCCAGGGTGAGGTGTCCTGGGACCTGGTGCTTGGCTGCCTGGCACTAACCCACCCTCCGGGCTCGGCATCGATGCTGCAGCCACTGTGAAAGTTTGGCAAGCACGTCTGAAACCATCAGGTATTGGTGAAAAGCTGCTGCCTGGGAGGCTGCTCTTCCCCAGGTTGGGTCCCTTGCTCACAGGCCACTGGCGAGCAGCTGCTGAGTGTCACCAGGGATATTTCTCCTGCTGTCACACAGGGAAGACAGCAGCAAGCTGCAGAAGGTCAGAGCAGCCCTAAAAATACATCTTTGTGCGTGCACATCTGTATTTTTATCTGCTTCATTATTTGACACATGCTGCTGGTTAAAAGGCTGGAGAGACCTGTTCACAGGTAACCTTTAAGAGCAAGGGAAAGGTCTAATAAGGTTACAGCAGGCCTGAAGGACCCTCTGCTTGGCCTTTTGCTAATTTACAAGGGAAATAAACGTGTGTGTGGCTGTGGGGAGCCTGACAGCTGCCCCTTCACTGCTGAGCTTCATGGTGGAGCAACCAGGAAGGGAAATGTGCCAAAGTGGAGCCCGTGGAACTGAGCAAAATCTAAAATAATGTCCCTGGAAATCAATGGGGAGATTTATTCCCCTGTTTAAATGGGAAGGAAAGGCGGTTCCAGGCTGCACGTCAGGACCACTTAACCGTGTCGTGTAAAACCATTTTTACAACAAACATAAGTTTGAGTTATGTGTGTTATTTTTGCTAACTGTTTGCACATGGCTGAATTTCATGATGACAGCAGTGAGTA